AGACAGAGTCTTGCTCTATCTCAGGCTAGTCTCGAACTTGTGAGCTCAGGCGATCCGCCCGCCTCGGCCTCCCAGAGTGCTGGGATTACAGGTGTGAGCCACCACCCTAGGGCCCCAGATTTTTCAGGACAGGGCTACTGTGGATGATTTACTGTATACCTTTGAAAGACTTTTTATATAATTAAACTTGCCAGACAATAGTACATAACATTCTATGCAACCATTAAATAGAAATAGAAATAGATCAGTATATACCTAAAACATAAGGCTAAACTGAAACAAAAAAAATTACAGGACCATATATATATATGGTCATCTTATATGGATGAAAAGAAATAAACATGTATATGTATTGAATAGACAATTATGTGTTCTCCCCAAAGTCGTTACAGTTAGGGAATGGGATTGGTTGGGAAGGTGAGACACGATAAAGAACTTTCACTTTTGTAAGTTTATACGTTCCTGTATGATTTGAATGTTTATATAACTAAACCTATGTCAGGGTGGATAATAATGATAAATGACAAAAAGTCATAATGATGACTTTTACTCAGTATTTTTTGGGAAAATAACTTAGCAATCAAGTGCCCCTGCTGCTGACAGACAGTGAGCTAGGGACAAACACCGCACATGCAAACATGTGTTTTCCAGAACACAGAGACACTGTGGCCCAGCACAGTCTAGATTTCCGCATAAATAGTAATCATTCCCTACATAGATACCATGTGTTAGCTTGCAAAGCATTTATGCATGGGAGAAATTGTGTAAATATTCAGAGGATGGGTCCTTAATCTGTGACAGGCGGGGGGTGGGGGTCTGGACACTTGCAATCCCCATGAGTGGGTATCTCATGTTCCTTTACTGGTGTAGTTTATAAGTATTCATGGCTTCCATCCAATTCGCAAAGAGGTCCGGGGCCCAAATAAGATCACAAAGCATTGTACTCCATATTGATGTCCTCTCGAGGACAGATACACCAAGGAACTAGTAGCAATGGCTGCCTCTGGAAAGGGGCCACATCCAGGGTGTAAAAGAAACCTATCTCTCATGGTATACTCTTTTGTATTATTTGAATTTATTCTTACTATGATCATGTATTACTTCTTCAGTTAAAGTAACCTGAAGAACTGCTTTGGAGAGAAAAGGGGGCCCAGGAGCTATCTAGAAGCTCAGATAAACTCCTCTGGTTTTTATATCATTAGCCTGAATATTCCACTTGGTGTAAACCCTACCGATTTCCTCTAATCACAAGGAGTATGTTTCCAGGAGAGAAGAGCAATTGCTATGGAGATTTTCCATTACAAGTGCTTTATGAGCCTTGGGAGGTGACTTGAGTTTGGACTACATGGGTTTGAACACGGCCTGTGCTGCAGCTGCTCCTTCTCCAGGGTCCAAATGGAGCCATCTGGCACAAGGCTCCAGCTCTTAAATCAATCCACCCACCACCTCGGTCTCTTAAGGTGTATAGTGAGAGGGCTGGGAAAGTAAGGCGAGTGCATCTCACCAGAGGAAGCGTGCAAAGCAGAAACACATGGACGGCTCAGCCAGCTTCCCCCGTCAGCACTGCTGCTGGAATGATTTACAAGAGGCCAAGCCAAGTTCCCACTGCTCCAGACTGAGCGGATGGAGGAAAAGGGCGAGAGAAGCAGGTCACACCTGCACGTCCCCTTTCTTCCTTCTTGGGACAGACTTTGTTTACTTGCAGACTGCAGGTGGTGGTGGCTGGCCTGCAAATACCACCATGAGGCCAGTTGGTTTGGCTCAACCAGGTCACGCTAAATGGGAGACTTGGAACCTAGTCTGTTACTGCCTCCCAGCCAAAGCCTGTTTCCTGCCTAATTCCCTCTGGCCAACTCACCGTAAGACTTAAAATTAAGACATGGCCCAATTTATAAACAGACACGTGGGATCTGCAGCGTGTGGGGCCTTCGATTTGTATGGGAACCTGGTAGGTCTTAATTTCACTGTGAAAAGATGATAAGAATCCCATATGTTTATAAAGTGCTGTAGACTTAAAATAACAATCTCTACCAGGCCTAACATTGATGTTCATTTTAGGCAAGGAAACTGAGGACTCCAGAAATTACTTTACAATGTCTGGTTTTCCTCCACTTATAGGGCATGAACAGAAGGGAGGTACCCAGTACTAATCTGTTGAATGAAAGGAGCAGTCATTGAATCAATCCATCGATAAAGAGAGAAAGAGTAGAGGCTGGGCAGAATGGCTCACGCCTGTAGTCCTAGCACTCTGAGAGGTCAAGGCGGGTGGATTGCTTGAGCTCAGAAGTTTGAGATCAGCCTGAGCAAAGCAAGACCCCATCCCTACTAAAAAGAGAAAAAATTAGCTGGACATTGTGGTTAGGTGCCTATAGTTTCAGCTACTTGGGAAGCTGAGGCAAGAAGATTACTTGAGCCTGAGAGTTTGAGGTTGCTGTGAGCTATGATGATGCCACCTCATTCTCCTAGGGTGACTCTGTCTCAAAAAAAATTAGTATACAGTAGAGCCACCTCCTACCAGCTCATGAGAGCCAATGAAGGACACAGCTTTTCAATTCTGCTTTCTACAACTTCTTATAGTAGCTTGAAATTGAGTGGAAGTACCTTTATCAGTATATTGGCAGATGCTATTAATCAGGGCTTTTTCTCTTTTTCATAGAGGCAGTTTCCCAGCACACTGGAAACTGGTACAATGTCATACAGGCAATTAGTATAGGCAATTGGAATCTAGGTTTTTTAGATCATTATTCTTTTTCAAAAAAAGAAAGTATAAAGGGTGATGCCTGTGGCTCAAGGAGTAGGGCGCTGGCCCCATACACCGGAGGTGGCGAGTTCCAACCCAGCCCTGGCCAAAAACTTCAAAAAAAGGGGAAAAGGAGAGTGGGAGGGGTCTAAATAAATAAAATTACTCCAACATACATGTATAGATCCTACCACATGGAACTCACAAGGGCAGGCTGGTGGAGAGAAACAGAGTTTTGAGGTATAATTCCTATTCTCAAGGAGCACGTGTTCTCAGGCACAGAGCAGCTGGGGATCTTGGTAGATGCACGTTAAAATCCAAGGAGCTGCCGCATTCTGAGCAAGCTCCCAAGTGAAGCTGATGCTGCCACCTGAAGACCACACCTAGAGAGGCAGGGGCCCAGGAGGCTGCCGGCTGGTGACAAGGTGCCAGTGCCACCTTGCTAAGGTCAGATAGCTGTTAACACTCGGAATCTTCACAACACCAAGAAGATATTTTTTTCATCCATATTTACAGATGAGACCATTGAGATACTCAGCTAGTGACTCAAATCTGGGTGGTCTGGCTGGCTCGAAGAAGCCAGGGCCACTCTAGAAAGTGCCATCTGCTTGGAACTTTTCTGTTGATTTCCTGTCTTGCCAATTATCCTTGCCGTTCCTTCCTCCTATTTCTCCTTCCCCCTTCACTAACTGCTCATTTCTGATTTCACAACCTACAAGTGCTTCTACCAGAGAAGGGCTGAGGAGAAGGTAACTGAATGCTTAGCTCATCAGCGTTGAGTTTATTAACCACGTGTCTTATTTTCTGTCTCTGTTGCTTTGACATCTGGGGTCTTGCTGACCTGATCTGCCAGATCCTAGGGATGGCATTTAATTTTCTAGCTACCTTGCCTGTCACATGCAAGCCAGCCAATCCAGCCATCTACTTTACTGGGCTTTCAGCCTGGGGGCCACTATGTTCCTGCCCTAATCACTCCAGAACTGGTACAGGACAGCTAAGGACAAAAAGCCTGTATGCCCCAGAGATTGCTGGAATTATTCAAACTAGTCAATCCTAACCCTGCTTCCTCTGTGTCAACCACTCCTTCCTGCAGAAACCACAGAAAGACTCTCGCCCACACTTCACCTTGCTCCCTTTGCCCTGGACCAGCCCCAGGGCTTCCCTCCATGCCCTCACTCCTGTGGCATAGCATGCCCCCTCCTCTTCTGTATGACCATCTTTTCAATAGCACTTGTCCCTGGAGATGCTGGCCTTACCATACCTAATGGTAATAAAATCTGTATTTTAAAACATCAAATTCATGAGAGAAGTTAAACAAATTCCAGTGCCTTTCTGGATCACCTAGGATTCCCCTTGCCCTCCCAGGCCAGCCCTTCCCCAGTCCTTTGCTATGAGCTTTGATGATATCACAACACTCTACCCAGGGTGACTCTGTCTCAAAAAACATGAGTATACAGTAGAGCCATCTCCTACCAGCTCATGAGAGCCAATGAAGGGCATAGCTTTTCAATTCTGCCTTCTACAACTTCTTATAGTAGCTTGAAATTGCCCCAGGGAGGGTACCAGGTGCCCCCTGAAGCTTCAGGGTTTCTTACCTAATTCCCCGGCAGGTGCTGAGCGTGACACTGGATTGCTCTGCCTCCCTCACCGTGCCATGGTAAAAGCAGTGATCCTAGCAAGGAGAAAGGAAGTGGTCAGGCCAAAGAACATCGATCAGCACGGCAATGCTAGCATCTCATGAAAGTGATGGGTGATTCACAGCTTCTCATATATCTTCCCTAACCTTACAGCACTTTACAACCTGCAAAGACCTTTCCCAGCTACCATTTTATTTGACTCTTATCATAATCCTGGGAGAGGGGGCAGGGCAGATGTCATTATCTCCATTGAATAGAGAAGGAAGGTAGGGCTTGGAGGAGCAAAGAGATTTGCCAAAGGTCTTCCTGCTAGGTGGAGAACCCAGGACTTCCAGATCTGTCAGAGACCTTTCCATGGCATGATGGTAGCCACAGGAAACACTGATTTCTGAAAGAGCCCACATCCCTGCCAATGTCATGTTAAAATCCCCTGTTGTGGGTTGAATAGTGTCCCCCTAATATTCAGATCCACCACAACCTCAGAATATAACTCTATTTGGAAATAGAGGTCTTGCAGGTTTTGCGTGAGGAGGTCATACTGGATTACAAAGTTTCTAAATCCAATGCCTTGTGTCCTTGTAAGAAGAGGAGACAATAGACACACACAGAAAGAGAAGAGGCCATTTGAGGACGGAGGCAGAGGCTTGAGTAATGAAGCTTCACGCCAAGGCGCACTAATGATGGCCAGGAGCCACCGGAAGCTGCAAGAGACAAGGAAGGATTCTTCTTCCCTAGAGGGGTTGGATAGAGCACAGTCCCACCTTCACCATGATTTTGGATTTCTAGCCTACAGCACTGTGGGGGAATAAATTTCTATTGTTTTAAACCTTCAAGTTACTCCCCCATGTCCTCCACAGCTCTTTATGCCTTCCTTCCCTGACTCCCTCCACACTTGGGTCATACTCGGTTTGGCTCCTGTGTCCATGAGGTCTGCTGCTGCTCTCTGGTCATTGTGTCTCATGGCCACCTGGTATTCCCAACCCAGCTGTGGAACACCAATCTGTGCCAAGCCCCCTGGGCCAAGACCCAGAGACACAACAATGAGTAAACACAGCTTCAGCCTCTGTGGGGCTTAGGTTCTGGTTAATGACTGTGTCATTAATCAGAAAGCCAAACAAAGGGATAATTATAGCCCAGGCATGGTGGCTTATACCCATAATCCCAGCACTTAGGGAAGCCAAGGTAGGAGGATTGCTTGAGGCCAGGAGTTCAAGACCAGCCTGAGCAACAGAGCAAGACCCTGTCTCTGAAAAAAATAGAAAAAAAAATTTTTTTTAATTAGTCAAGCATGGTGGCAGGCACCTGTAGTCCCAGGTACTCAGGAGGCTGAGGCAGGAGGACTGCTTGAACCCAGAAGTTGGAGGTTGCAGCAAGCTATGATCATGCCACTGCACTTCAGCCTGGGCAACATAGTGAGATCCTATCTCAGAAAGAAAGAGAGAGAGAAGGAAAGAAAAGATATAATTACAAACCACAAGGAGTAGCTTAAATAAATGTTTGAAGTGCTGACAGATTGATGAGTAGGGCACTGTTGAGTGTGCAAAGGAGCAAAACCAGATAGATGAGCCAAACCAGGACTGTCCCCCACAAACCAAGGGTACCACGAAGGGACTCATTCCTGTACACTTCTTCACAAATAAGTCAAGAGAGAGATGTTCAGAACAGAGAGAAGGTAAAACCCTCAGGGTAGAGCAAAGTTCTGAAAAGATCTTAAGGATGTAAACACTCATAGTTACAGATATAGAAGCTTCTTATTTTCCAACGCCTGAGCCTGAGCAGGGCCAATCATAAATGTTCAGGCCTCCACATAAGTGACCGTCCCAGGGTCCATGTCTAGGACCATGCTGCTTGCAGTTGTTGCTCTGTGCCCTGCTGTTGACCCAGCAGATAGCTAACCCATTTGTCTGTATTCTCTGGCCCCCTCTCTCTCCCATCTCTAAGCATAGGCACAGCCAGATAAGTAAATTCAAGCACTGTGGCAAATCCAGGGCCCCCATCAAGCAGGTATGTAAACAGCTCCACAACCTCTCTCTGAGCCTCCACGAGTTCAGGCTCCACCTCCCAGAGTGGTTGTGAGAATGCTATACTCAAAGGAGCTAGCAGAGTGCTAGGCCCAGAGCTGCAGGCAGTGAATGTTAGTGACCATGCTATCATTAAATCCTCCTTCATCAAAGACACAATGTGGCCCTGAGGCACCTGGAAGCCCACCAATGGGCTGAGCCCGGACTCTGCTGTGCCAACTCTATGTCCTATGCTGCTGAGCCAAGCAGCCAGGTCAGAGGACACAGGCCAAGCTGACACTTGACTGGAGCTCACTCTCTGGACCACCGTGTCCTTTCATCTGCTGATAATCCACAGACAGCAATGTGGCTCCTTCCCTTTCAAGCTCATGCAGTCAGAAGGAGGGACAAGGGCCAAGTCTACCTTTGTATCAAACTTTTCTGGACCTTAAACAAGAGCAATCCTGCCCTTCCAAGGAGTACAAAAGCAAGTACCCACCCTGGGGGCAGAGGGCACTGCCAGCACGTGGGAAAGATGGTGAGGCAGGCCAAACCCTCCTTCCAGTCGGAATTCCATCTGCTTTCAAATGCCAGCCTGTCAGGTGGCTTCCCTCCCTACACAGGCTCTGGGATTCAGAGGACGATCATAAAGTACTCAGTCCCAAAGCTGGTCCTCAGAACTCAGCAGAGGCTGTGAACCCCACCACACAGGGTCATTCACAGGGAAGAGAGGGCCAGGCCTGCATGGGGGCAATGGGGCACACAGAAGCTGGCGAGACAGAAAGTCAAGGAGTTTAGAAATGCATGTCAGCTACGGTTCCCAAATGCTGGTGTTATCACAAATAAAGAGAATTCAGATCCTGGGATGGCTGTGAAGAATCCCTGTCTCTCTTCCTGTCTTTAGATTGATTCACAGGCTGAGTGCTCTCTGATTTTTGTAGCATGCTTGACAATCCACAGAGGGCTTTCCTACAGATGACCTTCTGTGATCATGATACCTGCCATTTACTGTCGTCAACAGTAAGACCTAACATCTGCCCAGCTCTTACCACTGGATGAACAACGGAGGCAGATTTGTTTCCCCTTTATGTCTGAACACAGTTTTTTAAGATAGATAGGATTTTCATGTTTTAAAAGGAGGAAACAGAAAGTTAGAGAGGTTTTAAGTCATTCACAAGGTGACACAGCAAAGAGGAGACTGGAACCCAGCAGCCTGGCCCCACACTCCATCCGCTGCCTCTCCCAGAAGTGGCACAGGAAGGAATCAATTTGTCAGAGCTCCGTCATCCCCCGGCTTCCTAATCATCAGGCCAGACAAGTTCTAGTCTAAGCCTTGCCCCTTACTGGTTAGCCAAACTTGGGCAAGTTACTTCTACTCTTCTCTCCATTTCCTCATCTGCAAAATGTAAGGCTGGAAGAGATCTCTCATTTATAAATTCCCAAGAAAACCAGTGATTCATTTTGCCTCTGTAGCTCTGTGAGTCAGATAGCAGCACATCCACTTTATAAAGGAGGAAACTCAACACTAGTGTGGTCAAAGGGTTTGTTTAAGGTCACATAGCTAGTTAAAGCCAAGACTGTAAGCCTGGCTTCAGACCCCAAACCCTGTAACTCCTTCCATGGAAACACATTCATGACCCATCCCCAGTGACCTGACCTAGATCAGGGCTGTGGCCTAAAAGACTCACTGATGAGTCTTGATAAGGTTCCCAGAACTCCCCCAGGCAAGTTTGGTAGCAGAACACAGTCATCAACAACACTTGGGTCAAGTGCAGCTAAATGGTTTATTCCATTCCCATTTCTCTTTGAGATCTCAGCATCCAAATGACCCACTGAGAGCCCCGTAGGCCTGGGTTGGGGCTCTGCAAAAGTGCAGTAGTAGGGGTATCAGAAAACAAGTGAGCGTCCCACAGTTCAGTCAACAAGACTTTTGGAAAGAGCGGGATGAGGGATGAGGGAAGTTCTCTCCCACTCCTCTGGGTCTGAAAGGCCCTTACAAACTCATTGCCTAACGCATAAGCTGACAGCACAAAGGACAAGTCACAGGGCAGTCATGAAGTCAGTGCATTCCGTGGCACCTCCGCCTGATGGGGCCACCCTGAGGGGGCTTTCACAGCAGGAAGCATGAGCTCATGGCAAACTGGGGACTGAGACCCATTCTTGAGCTGTGGGTACAGAAGAGGCAGGAGCTCAAGCTCAGAAGCACAGAGGAGTGTGGAGTCACAGCTGGACAGCCTCCCCAGAGATGAGGAAACGCAGCCAAGATACAGCCTGCCTTGCCCGCTGCAGACACTGGCTGCACTAGCAACCCCTTCCCCATCCGGGAAGGTCTTGGTGAAGAAGGCGGCAGTGCCCTTCACTTTCAGCCCCTGAACATAGCCCTGAGCTACCTGGTTAGTTCATAGGCTCTAGACCTTTCATATCTATCAAGACTTAACATTCCTGTGTCCCTTCCACCCATGGGTAAGGCGGTGACCTAATCAGAGCATTAATGACTGATAGTGGCTGGCACTGTCTTGTCAGACATGTGCACTCTGGCAACGGGGGATCTCCGGTTCCGTGGAAGGTGCTGGAGGAGCTTGAGGCTGAGGGCCTCCGCTACTGTCCTCCACACACCTCCCTTCTCCTTCACCCCCTCTCATCATCCCAGGCTCTGAGAAAGGGCACTGGAATCCAGGGTTCCTCAACTTAGACACAACAGTTATCACAAATTATCCTGGGAGCAGGATAATTCTGTTGTGGAGGGTTTGTCCTGTGCATTGTAGAATGTTTGGCAGCATCCCGGCTTCCAGTCCCTAAATGCTAGTAGCTTCCCTCCCCCCACCCAGTTGTGACAATCAAAACTATCTCTGCCAAGTGTTCCCAGGGGGCAGAGTCCAGGGGGCATAGCACCTGGCTGAAAACCACTGCTCTGAGCTCACAAATTCCAACAGGCACCCTGTAGAAAGAGATAGCAAAGCATGAAATGGGCGTGATTGTGATTCTCTACCCCAAACGAGGGACAGTGAGGTGTGGTAAAGCAAACTATTGTGTATCCATCTGAAAGACCATTTTCCAAATGATAAATCATTGCCTTTGTGCAAACATTCACACTCGAAAACAACTTTCAGGGGGAAAATATCCAGTATAAAAATATCAGCAAAATAAGAAAAGCTTCATAACTTAGAACCACATCAAAAAGGCAGACACAAAATTTGTATGCACGGTGATTACTACTCTGTAAACCTTATACTTCCATTTTCAAAAGGGAGGTACTGATTGACTAGTAAAGTAAGGATTATGGCTAAATTATTTCTTTAACTTAAAGTTTTATTGAAGTGTGGCTTATGAACGTGAAGCAAAGTAAAGGTATGCTGCCCAATGACTTCTATCGATGCTAATCACAAGCAATGACCCCAAAATATTCTACTTGTTTGTTTGGTCATTTTAGCTGGCAAGAGATAGGGAGCACTCATGAAACTAAAAATACACATTTCGCTTCTCCTATTAGCTCCTGGGGGTTTGGTCAGGAGAAACAATCCTTGAGAGGAGGGACCACCTCCATCAGAATCTCCTCAGTCCGCAGGAGTGGTACCAGGAGAGGGCAGCGGCTGGACAGACACCTGCTGACCTGAACTCACCTCTGATTTCAGCGTGGTGGTTTGAGGGTTACCACTTGGAGTATAGTGGGTTTCTGTGTAGGCTGGAGCAAAAAGGTGCCTGCAAACAACAAAAAGCGACATTTTTTATATCTTCAGTTAATGGGCTACATCCTCCTGGTAACGGGGGCTGGTGATTTTAACTGAACAAGGCAGGACCACCCCAAGCATCTCCATGCAAAAGAAACTGTGCAGCCACAGGGGCTAAGGAGCAAAGGATCCAGAGGAAATGTGTTGTTAATTTTACATTTACTAGGATCATTACTCCAATGAGATGGAGTGGAAAGCAACTGAAGCATTTTTCCGGGTCTCGGGAAAAGACACATGCAAACAAACACATACAAAATTCTCCAGGGTCTATGGACTCTCCTCGATTGATTTTTTTCAGTGTTGCGTCCACCAATTTTTAGTATCAGCAGATCAATTTTTTTAAGAGAATAACTCTGCCCCCCTGATGGATATTTTGTGAGATTGTCCATCAAAGTGACCTACTTAGCCCTGGCCAAGGGGTGGCCCTGGTTCCAAGCTAAGCCAATGGTGTGATGTTGCAAAGTCTGAACAGATGGAAGCAACACCATCTGCTCCTCTGTTGCTGCCGCCTGAGTTCCCAGTGCTGCCTCTGCCTGTCCTTTCTGAGACCACGTGGTTCAGATTTCCTGAGACCTGGTAGTTCTGTATGTTGCCCTTCCAATACATCCATAATTTTCTTTTTTAAACTCGGACATTGTTTTCTCTCTTGTCACAGACCCCTGGAAGTTGAGGTTAAGAATCCCTCATGAAGGCCGGGTGCAGTGGCTCACACCTGTAATCCTAGCACTCTGGGAGGCTGAGGCAGGAGGATTCCTTGAGCTTAGGAGTTCAAGACCAGCCTGAGCAAAAGCAAGACCCCCATCTCTACTAAAAACAGAAAAAAATTAGCTGGGCATCGGTTGTGGTAGGCACCTGTAGTCCCAGCCACTTGAGAGTCTGAGGCAGGAGGATCCTTTGAGCTTAGGAGTTTGAGACAAGCCTGAGCAAGATCGAGCCCCATCTCTACTAAAAACAGGAAAAAATTAGCCAGGCATTGTGGCAGGCACCTGTAGCTCCAGCTAGTCAGGAGGCTAAGGCAGGAGGATCCAGAAGTTTGAGATTATTGGAAGCTAGCCTGAAGCCATGGCATTCTAGCCTGGCATGAGCAACATGCCAGTGAGACTCTATATAGAAAAAAAGAAGAAGAATCTCTCATCCAACATCAAAGTCTAAGTGATGCCAAACAAGGTTCCTAGGATTTCTCTGTAAAAGTTAAAAGACGAGTGAAAAGAACCAAATGGATTTTTCAATTAGTTCCACCACATTAAAAGCATTCATTCTTCTATAGAAAGTCAAGGTCAGGATACAAACAGGTTTATAATGGGAAAGCACCATTAGAAATTCGCATCTGGGGTGGTGCCTCTGGCTCAAGGAGTAGGGCACCAGCCCGATATACTGGAGGTGGCGGGTTCAAATATGACCCCAGCCAAAAACTGCAAAAAAAAAAGAATCTGTTAAGAAATTCGAGCCTGACAGTGTGTGGCCACCCTGAATGTGCCCCATCTCATCTGATCGTGGAAGCTAAGCAGGGTAGGGCCTGGTTAGTACTTGGGTGGGAGAAATTGGAGTCTGACAAAGAAAGAATACTGTGGCTTTATACAGGGTGGATATAAAGTTCATGTGTAATTTACCATGTTAAACGATTTTAAATTGCACATGAACTTTATGTCCACCCTCTATGTACTAATATGGGAAGATGTTTAAAATGGAATTAGATAGAAGCAGTAAATTACAGAAAAGTATGCAGCTTAAAACTCCATTTTAATGAAAAACTAATAATTGTACACACTAGTGCATGCATCACAAGCAACAAGAGCAAAAAATGCCCATTGTTAGTGCTGATTATGTCAGGGGATTGCAGAAGATGTTCACAATGTGAGTTACACATTTCTGAACTAGTTGACTTGTAAAACAATTACAAGATAATGTTTTTTGAAAACTGAAAACCTGATTTACAACTGTCTTTAAAATGAAGACAATGTAGGCTGAGGCCAGCACAGAAAGCCAAACAAATCTACAGGGACAACTGGGTTTTGAAAGAGGTGACACTTCCCAGCAAGAGAGGGTCATTATTATAAAGGGTCTCTAGAGTCACTTGTAGCTGTATGTTCTAGGACTCTTGAATCTCGGATTTCCCTCTACCACCAGGGTGCAGTCAGAAGGTAAATACCACAAGAACTGTCTCTTGTATGATGTCAAGGCCTTCAGCATCCATCCTTAGACAAGAAGAAAAGAAACCCAACAGAGAAATTCAAGAATAAAGCAAAGCACAAAACCCAGCTCCTGTAGAGAAACTCTCATTCACAGGAAAACTTTGGGCCAGTAGCCAACTTGCCAGAATCGGTCTCCCTGCCTTTTCTCTTTCTCCTTAGCCAGTTACAGCTGTTATTTTGAGCCTTGAGCTCAAAAGACACCCATTTGTCTGAGGAAGATAACTGTAAGCCCCAGGACAGCATAGGCCTAGCAGCTTTGCTCACTGATACATATCAGTGCTTAACATTTCTTCCATGAAAAGATTCCTTAGCTAATTGCTGGATGAATGAATGAACGAATGAATGAGTAGTTCAGTGTACTAGGAGCATAGAGCATGAGCCGGAGTCTGGAAGATTGAGGTTTTGATTTTAGCTCCAACATTTACTGTCCCTATGGCAGTAAGTTGTTTCACTTACTGCCATAGAGACAGGGGCATGAGCAAGTTATTTTTACCTCCCCAAGCCTTTGTTTCCTCTTGTGCAAGAGATGAGGATAATATACTCACTATCTTGATTGGGCATAACAGGCTTAACACCATGCCTGGCACAGAGTGGAGCCCAGTACAAGTCAGTAATTATCATTATTGCTTTCAACAGGGATTGTGATGAAAGAACCCAGAAAAACTGCTGGAATTTCCCTAGTTTTCTCTAACTCTCCTCAGCCATTAAGTCTCCAGGACATCACTTGAGAGAGGTGGTAAAAAGCAATCTGCTCACTCCTACGGGCCATTTCCTGGCCTGCTTTCACAGACTGCATAATAGAGGCCGGTCAGGGCTTCAGAGTTTAATGGTTCATCCCAGGTGCCACTGGGAGATGTGAATTTTCCCTTGGGAAATGTCCTCCTGGTAGATACATTCTCGGGTATTTTAGCAAGGGGGGAAATCATTCTTCCAAGTCCCATTAAGATGCTCCAAACTGATCCTCAGAGGACTCCACCTGGTTGATGGTCCTCAGGCATAGGTCTTCAGAAGATAAGAATTTTTCTACAGCTCCTTTTTCTAAGGATCTCTCCCCCTTACCCATCATAGGACCCTCAGAACTTCACTACTGAAAGTGACCCCAGAAATTATACTGCCAAATCTACTCGACTATGGGTGGGGACCACGGTTGTTTTTCTAGAGTTCTCCCCAGCTCCCAGCACCCGGCTGGCAGGCACCAGCACCTGGCTGGCAGGCAATATATATGTATTCTGTGAAAAAGTGGATGAGTGACTAGACGCATGAATTTAAATCCTCTACCTAGAGTAGGAATCTGCCATATTGGACGTTGAACATTGGACACCTCCAGGGCAGGAGCTCCTGAGACCACCCACTCCATTTCTGACCATACACAGTAGTTCTGGATTAGAAACTATTTCTCTGTAACTGGCACCCATGGCCTTCATTCTGGCTTCTGAATCCACACAGCACAATCTGCTTCCTCTCCCATCTGCCCACCCTTTCTGAACCAGTAGCATCAACATTACCTGGAAACTACTTAAAAACACAAACTGTCTGGCCCCACCCCAGACCTACTGAATCAGATAGAAACTCTAAGGTTGGGGCTCAGCCACCTGTTTTAACAACTCTCCAACTGCCCCAACCTAGGCCCATGCACGCCTGCCTTCCCCGCTGCTGCTGTCCCCTCAGAGAGGAGGCCACAGGGCCACCACATCTTGTTCTCATCTCCTCCCTGACAAGGGGCTGGCTCAGCAGATCGGCAGGAAGCCGTCTCTCACCACGGGATTGCATTAGGATTTTCAGGAAATGAGTTGTGAGTGATGTGCATCCAGGAAGAGAGAAAGACTATCCAAGATTTCCCATCCTGCCCCCTCCTTTTTCTCACTTTGACAGAAAAGCAATTTCTGTTGCACCCTACCGCTTTTCACCCTGTCTGCTTGGCTCGGGGTCCAGGGTCAGGCAGAGATCAGCAGGACGCTCCCACCCTCATCATGACGACAGTGGCCAGCGCTGCACTGCTGACTCTAGACAAAACACAAGTCACTCAGACCCCAAAGTTCTTGAGCAAAACCTGCATTTTCAGAATCCCCCCCTGGGAAAATAAGATGCCCCACGCACTGGACGTAAAACACGAGGTCACTCGCTAGGGAAGAACTGGAGCCTGCTTGTACAAGCAGCCAGGCCCCCAAAGCACTCTGCAGTCTGACAACAGCTCTGACCCGTCTTTCTAAGCCTCGGAGCTTTCAATCCCAGGACAACTCCTTTAAGTAACATCGGGCAAATTTCACACGCCTCTCTAAGCTAAAACTGCCTCTGTAGAGAAAGGAGAAGCAAGACTAACAGAAATTTGCAAAACGTCTTCAGGGAGCTCAATCCTCCTTCCTCCTGCTTCAGATAAGCAAACCCACAAAGACAAAGTGAAAACTATTTCCAAACTACCTTGAAAAACAACATAGACTGACGGCTCAGTATAAGCAGGACTCACTGGCCTCATCTCAGGGGCAAATCTTATTGCTGCCTCCTTTCCTGGATCTTGCAGCATCTTTCAGGAGTTACCCAGGCGTTTCAACTCAGATGATGCTGGGGGGTAGGAGGAGAGATAGCCTTGCTGGTCTCTTTTATTTCACATGGAGGGTCTTCACCCTGCCTGTGTTAGTGACAATGTCACTCTTGATGTTATTGTAGGAACTACCCCAGTAACTGCAGAAGACCCAGAAAGTCTAAGAGAAACTATAAAATCCCTCCAGGCACAGTGGCTCATGCCTGTAATCCTCGCACTCTCGGAGGCCAAGATGGGTGG